TATAGCAGAAGAAAAACTATCCATTTTAGTATTTATGTTTTCTAGGACCTTATCATTAGAAACAAGCTTTTTAGAAATACTTTCATTAATCTTAGCTTGTTCTAAGATCAAATCTCTCAAGGATGGTTGTTTGGGACTAGAAGAATTATAGTAATTACCTGGGTACTTACCTTGGTAATTTGACCGTTGTTGTTGCCATCCTTGCCTTTGTTGTTGTGGAACAGAATTGTTGATGACAATGCTCACATCCTCTTGAGATTTAGGGAAATCAACCCCCCAAATATTCTCCACATATGTTTTGGGAATTATAAGCATCTTGAATGGCCCGATGATCTTTCTTATAATTAGCTTGCTGTTCGAGCCAATTTAACAAGACGTCCATCTTGGTTGAAAGTGCACACACCTCTTCTGGTATTTCTTCACTCTTATTGCACGCTTGAATATTGCATTGAGACCAGCCTTGATTAGAGGGTATCTTCTCCATGAGAGCTTCAACTTTTCCAAGGGAGAGTGACATAAATGCTCCTCTAGCAGTAGCATCGAGTTGTTCATGAGCTTTCTGAGTTAATCCATGGTAGAAACTTTGCATGAGCAACCAATCTTCCATCCCATGATGAGGACAATCTGAAATGTATTCTTGAAAACGTACCCATGCCTTTGGAATGGTTTCGCCTTTTTGCTGTTGGAAGTTGGAAATTTTTCCTCTCAAGGCATTGGTTTTGCCTATAGGGAAAAACTTTGCTAGAAAGGCCTTCGAATACTTTGCCCATGTGTTGATGTCATCTTTGTTGGTGTAGAATCACTGCTTTGTCCTTCCCACTAGCGAGAATGGAAACAGGCGGAGTAGTATGATATCTTGAGCATCGTCCTTGATGGTGATCGTGCTACTAATCTCCAGGAAATTTTGAAGATGAGCACTAGCATCTTCATGTGCCTTTTCGCTGAATTGGGTAGCTTACACCATGTTGATGAGGCTTGGCTTGAGCTCAAACTCAAGGTTGTTAATTTTGAGGGTTGGTCCAGTGCGAATGTTCTCAGTGCTTGGAGCAGAGAACTCACGTAGTGTTTTGTCAACCATAGCTTCAGAAACTGGTGTTGAGCTCCCTCTTGATTGATTTGATTCTGATTGATGGAGATTGTTAGTGAATCACAACCAATCCTGCAATACCCTATATAAGATATGAACAAAGACAAACAAGGGTAAGCCTGCTAAAGCATAGGTGCTTAGTTATGATTTCATCAATAAGTATTTATTTGATCAATTCTCTTAGCCTTGTGCCCCTCCCCGGCAATGGCGCTAGAAGTGCTATTGGCATTTCTTAGCATCACTCTTTACTAAGTTGTCATCCCAAGTAATGGTGCCAGAAATGCATTGTTGGTAATTATTAAGAACACTTGTAAATTTGGAATAGAATATATATGTTGAAGTAATCCGCAAGCGCACAGATAATATACCATTATAGCATTTCACCCGGGAGTATACCCGGTATCGTTATTTATATTTTACCATAGGGAGGAGCGATGGGGTGGCTAGAGATATTGACAAATTGTATACTTATGATAAGATCATTAACTCTCATGCTTTAACAGGGGTAAGTCAAATGATAAATAAATGATAAGTGTAAGGCATTGATAGTAATCCAGAGATATAAATAGATACTCATAAATGTAGTATGGCTAGGTAGGAGATTAGTTAAGAGCAAAGATTCCTAAGTCATTTCTTATTTACTAAGTCTTTTGTACACTCTAGTATATATACTTTCATCTATAGCATAACTAACTCTGTATCTATGCATAAGGAACATTACTAAGGAAGATCAAGAACAAAGCTTGATTTCCTTCGCAATTGGGTTCTACTTGTTCTACAAACGGGGAGTGGACTACAAAGGACTCAACGAGAGTGTCACACTCGTGATTTACCACATGGCCTAGAATGTAGAGTGCATCCGTAGGTAAACAATATTTAAGCACCATGCTTACAAAATGTCGACCACTTAACTCACTCGAGTACTGAGCTAAGAGCTTTGCGAACATATGCATAAATTCATTATCAATCATGACTATATCAAGTATACTACCAAAGCAAACTAGGAACATAATAAATAGAAACATAGTATTGAAGTAGCACAAAGTCACAAAATATAGAGGGATACAATGTCTTTACCAGCCTCCAGACGGTGAATCCCGAATCCTGAGCAATAGCCCAACTCTACTTAAATCTTGCTAGCTAGCCTATACTAGAACTTGAAGAATTGGAGCTCTATTCTCTTCTCTCTGGAAACCCTAATTTCTGATTTGACCTTGACTTATGATTAGGGTTATTGATTGATGCCCTAGGGGTGGTAGGGGCTAGTATATATAGGGGAGAGTGCCAATTCTAAGCCCTCGAATCAAACTAACTTGAAAGAACGGCGTAGATGCAATCCTTGAGGCGGTGGAGAACCGACGTACGAAGGAGGGGCTGCCAGGTGGGGCCACTAGGCTGGCCGGCCTGTAGGTGGGGCTGGCTGGACCCACCTATCATCCTCCTGAGGTCTGTTTTGAGGGATGCCTTCTGGTGTCCTCTAGAACCTTCTGGTGCTATTTTCGTCGTGGATAAATACATTTAATTCCGACGATTGGGTCCACTTTGAGGGTTTTCTGGATAAACTCTGCTAAAAACAGAGATTCACCAAAACTCATGGAAATTGTTAGTTTAAACCCCTAAGTCTATGTTGGTGGTTATTTTTATGCATTTATACAAGTTACGTTGATGGTTTATGATGGATGTTAACTACCGTCAACAGTGTCTATCTTCTAAACTTTGATAACTTTGTATGATTCTTATTAATCAGTTTCTATTATGTCAATTTGCAATGTGATCATAATTCTGTTATTTGGCAATTCTGTAGATTTTGGTGCTTCATATATGAGTTGAAGGTTAGTGGATTCATCTTACTTGGCTTCTTCCCTGATCTTCTAGTGGTTCCTTGATTCATTACTGCCGGTGTAGGTCGTCTTCTTCCTCCATCTTGTCTTTTTGTTTGTTCCCATTTCTCCCCTGTGTTGTTTTCTGTTTCTAGATCTAGAAAGTAGCCGACGGCTCGGGGGGTATGCTTCAAGTCTTCTTGATCAAGTTGGTGTGCGTGGGGTTTCCTTCTTTTACATTTTTGTCCTTCATGCTTTCTTTATTTGTTGTTCTAGTTGGGCTTTTCTTTGGCCCATGTCTTTATTATCTTATTTGGGATTTTTTATATTTTTCCTTTTCAATTATATTTTTTCTCAGTTGGGTTCTAGTTGGGCTTTTCGGTGGTCTTCATTTTTTTCTTGGGCCTTTTTCTATCTTTTTCGTTGTGGTGATATGTTTGTTTTCTTTTTGGGCCTTCTCTTATTATTGGGCCTCTTAGAATCTACAGTGATTGGCAATTATACCCATTTAGTCTCTTCTGGATCTTTCCATCGCTCTCTGGTCTTTGTTTCCGATTCCCACGGTCATTTACTGTCAGTTACTCCTCTCTCTTCTCGGGTTGCACGATTGATTGCCTTTTGAACTGCTCCTTCGTGTTATTATAACCCATTTCCCTTCATCTCCCCTTTCTCCCTTTCATTCTGTTTGTTCCTCGCGTTGGCCTCTACGTCTGCTTCTTCTACTCTAGGTGCGTCCCTTTTCTTCTTTCTTGTACTTCATCTATGTTTTCTCTTAATCTTTTCTCTTTGTATTGTGATTTGTATTTCAGGTATGATCTTACCTAGATCATATGGTTCTTTTTTGTTTTCTTGATTCGGTTTATTTCTTTTTTTGCTCTTCATTCTTCTACTAGTTCATTTCTGTATTACAGTTTCTTATTTTGTTCTTTTTCCTCTTATCTCTTCATTTCTTGATTGATTTTTTTTCAGTTGTATCTTGATTCATCTAGTAGATTAGGTTTTTTTAAGAATAAATGTGTTCTTCTTTCATTCTTCTACTACTTGATCTCTGTGATCCAGTTCCTTGTCTTCATCTTTTTGCTCTTTCTCTTCATTTCTTGATTGATTTTAATACAGTTGCATCTTGATTTTTTTTTGTTCTCTTGTTCTTTCTTTTTCTTTATTACTGGTAGCCTATCTCCCTATTGTGGTTGTCGATTTGGTGATTATCTAACTTCTTGTTTTTTGTATTCAATTGTCAAGATTCATTACTGGTAGCCTATCTGTTTCTGCAACAGCTGTTAAAGGTATGTGTTTATCTATTCTATTTATTTCTATGTTACTGTGAAATATTTTTGTTAGGTTATCTGTTTTCTTTCTATTAATGTTTAATTTTGTTTTTGAACCTATCTTCTAGGTAACGGCTACATATTAGTTATTCTTCAGTTTTAATTCCAGTTCGTAGTTCATAAACTTTAGTTTCAGTTTCATTTTATTTATTAATTCATTGTTCATAGATTTTACCTTTTTATCTATATGTGTCATCTTAATTATATATTGAGGAGTCTTGTGTGTGTCTTAATCCTGTAGCAGTAAATTAGTGTATGCTATAGTTTGTTTGCTTACTTATCTTGGTGCAGTTACTATTTTTCAGTGCCTTAATCTCTTATCTGCTTTCTTCTTCTTATATTCGTTCAGATTCATATTAGAATGTAGACTACTATCTTAGTTCATTTTTATTTGTTTCAATTTATGATCTATTTATTAATTTCTCATGTTGATGTATGAAGTTTTAAGTATTATTCTAAATTTATTGTTATGAATTTAGCATTGTTTTCTATATTCGAGGCTACTGTTTGACTTAAAATTATTTATTTTTGATTCAGGATGTTTTCTTGTTTATTAGAATCGATCTTAAGGTTTTATCCAGGTTTTAGAAATTTTTTGTGGTTCAGATGCTTGGCCTTCAAGTAGGCAATTGTAGTCAGTTTGATTCTATTGTTTCTGTTAACTGCATGGTTGTTGTTTTTTTTTTTGAAATTTTGGTTTTATGTTATTTTTTATGTATTATAACTGTGTCATGTTTTATTTTTGTTTGTTAGGTGTTCAAAGTCATGGCTACTGTGGAAGTATGTATTCTATCTATCTCTTATAGTTTCATTTTTATTCTATTTGTGTTTTAATTGCAAATTGATCTAATCTATCTATCATATTTGGTCTTTTTTTCCTTCTTTTTCAGAACAAACGTGTTTGGTTCACTTATGAAGATAGGCGTGTCTCAAAGTATGTCATGGAATTTTTTGAGCTTCAAGTTGGCCAGCAGGATCATTTGGTGGCTGCTAGAAATTTGAGGAAATGGTCATGTGAAGACAAAGTAATCTTTGCTGCTCGTGCTACTAAGCAGATTGGCGGAAAAGGTTTTGTCAAGAATTTCAAGTTTTGCTATGACGAGGCTGATGACACAGTTTATTGCCTTGTTCACCTTGATGATCTTGCTGCTGACCATCGTCGTTTCACTTATAATGTTGGTGAGGAGACTGGATGTGAGACCCAGCCCATTGGGCCAGTTGGGCCGGACCAAATTCATGACACTGTAGCGATGAGGTACTAGTATTCCCAGTTTAGTTCCATACCAGAAACGGAACTAATGATAGACCAGCTTAAAAGCCTGGACCTGGGAGGCTGTTAACTCCGGATCGATCCTTTTGCGTGAAACGAGGACGAAAGCGCAAGAGAGTTAATTAGCAGGTGTGGCTCATTCAGCGTGTAGAGTGGACCTTAGCCGTCTTCCCGGGCTAGGGTGTTACAAATGGTATCAGAGCCAACTCTCACGGTTTCATGATTGCGTATGGTCCGAAAGCCTAGACATGTGCATGGCTCCAGAGAGGGCATGACACTTGGGCCGGGGAACTGGAAATACGGACGTGGCCAAGAGAGTCGATCCTGAACATTTGTCCCGTATGGGTAAGCTGGTTCGATAACTCGACGAGGACGTCGAATCCTTTGAGGGTGGGTGGATGTGAGACCCAACCCATTGGGCCAGTTGGGCCGGACCAAATTCACGACACTGTAGTGATGAGGTACTAGTATTCTCAGTTTAGTTCCATACCGAAAACGAAATGAACGCTAGACCAGCTTAAAAGTCTAGACCTAGGAGGCTGTTAACTCCGGATCGATCCTTTTTGCGCGAAGCGAGGACGAAAGCGCAAGAGAGTTAATTAGCAGGTGTGGCTCATTCAGCGTGTAGAGTGGGCCTTAGCCGTTTTCCCGGGTCAGGGCGTTCACTATTACCTTTTTTCAAGTGAAGAGTATTATTGAAAGGAAGAATTCAAATAGAGATTTCCTTGGTATGGATATTCGCATTAAGGTATGTTTCTTATAGTTTTTGTATTTTGTTTTTGGAAGTTTTTCCTTTTATTTGTCTTGTTGTTTACCATTTTTAGTTTGTAGTTAATATCCTGTATGCTTTTAGGTTTCTTAGAGTGTGTTATCTATAGCTATTTGTTGGTTTTGTGCTTGTTCTTGTTTTTTAGTGTTTAGGTCAGGCAGGTATTATATATATGATCCATTTGTCTTCTTTTTTTTGTGATTGTATTCATCATAAGATTGATTATTTATTTTTTACATTCTTGTATTATAATTATTACATTATAGTTTAGGGTGTAAGTTGTGTATTGGTTTCTTATAATTGTATCATACATGTACTGTTTTTGTTGTGTTTTTTAAAAATTTGTTTTGCTTCCATATTGAAGTAGAATAATGCTGCTGCATGTAGATGATATCTAGTTTTGTATGTATTTGTTTCATATCTTAATTATTTTTTCTTTTTTAGCCAAATCGTGCTGCTGCAACTCTGGACAATGAAATTGTTTCATTGTTTGTGGTTGAGCATCTGGATTTAGTTTCTAGTGGTCAAACCAGACTTCTTGCTGCAAAGGGTCTGGAAAATGAAGACAAGGTAAAGCTGGTAGCTCGTGTTGTCAGGCAGAACAGTGGTGCATCTTTTCTGCCAAAGTATAAGTATGCTTTGGATGGAGTGAATGGTACTGTTTATGTGCTGGTTCTCGACGCTGAAGAGGCTCGGTTGATGGTTGGTCGTTCTTTCAAAGTTGGAGGTGAAGAAATGAGTTTTACCTTGTGCTTAACATTGAGCAGAGGTCTGCAGGTGATGACATTTATCAGTCTGGTTATGTGGATAAGGTTTGGCCGCCTCATGCTGTTTAATTGAAGTTTGTGGAAGTCTTTGGGTTCATGACAAGTAGAAGTTGAAACTCTTTAAGTTAAATTAAGACTTATTGTAATGTCTTGTGTTTGTGAACTCTTGGTTTATATGTTGCTACTTATGGATGTTGGTTTGTACTATATATGTCTTCTTTTAAATTTATGTTGTGTTTTGTTTCTTTATATATGCTTATTTAGTGCGCAGGTTGACTGTTTATTGCTAGCAGGTTGTTAATCCAGCCATGTTGAGCGTATAGGTTGAGTGTTTATTTCTAGTAGGCCGCAGGTTGTTATTTAGGTTTCTTTGTACTGTATTTACAGTTTCTCATTACAATTTTTTCAATGTTTTTTCACTGTAAATTTCTTGTTATAGTGGTGTAAACTTATGTGTTTGTTGGTGTAATTTGCCTTTAATTTGCTTATTTTTCATAATTTGCATTTATCAATTTGTATTTCTTTCTGTTCTTTTACAATTTCTGCCAATTTGGCTTACATAAAACTTATCTGTTAATTTTTCTTTGTTATTTGTATTTCTTTCTGTTTCTATTTGAAAATCTTATAATTTGCCTTCCATAGACCTGATCTGCTAATTTTTATTTTAAATTTGTCTGTATTATATGTTTTCATTTTTGATTTATTAAATATCTATTTATTTGTTTTTTATTTCGTCCCTTAGATCTGCATCTTGTGGTGTTTTCCAATTCGGGTGATTCATGGCTTCAAATCACTCGATTCTGTGTGGTTTCAAGATTCAAGTGATTTTTGGCCCTGGCTAGGATGCCATAAATCACCCGAGTCTGCAGTAGACCGACCCTTACCGCAAATTCTTCCAACATTTGAGCCATTGCGTGGAGGCATCTCAAAATTGCAGAAGCTATCACTTGCCGATGACGCAACTTGACACAATGCCTGTGACACCATCATGGGCCCACCTGTCAGCCTTTGACAGGAGAGATGGTGGTGGAACGGCCATGGCAATTTGGTACAAAATTGAACTGAATATATTCAGGGTCTGTTTGTTAGAGCTCAGCTTCACTAGCGAAGCAGTTTTTTTGCTTTAGTTCCATGAAACATCTTCACCAATAAAGCTAAAGTTGTTTTCAAAAAAGTTTGGGAAAACAACTTTTAGGTATGATAGCAGATAGAAAATTGGGAGAAGGTAGTATTTTCAGCTTCATCTCGGTTCTTGTGTTGTGAGAGAAGCTGAAAAACAACTTTTAGAGAGAAGTTGTTTCATCTGGATACGTTTGATATAAGAAACTGAAAAACAACTTTGTGGAGTTGGGGCAAAGCCCTACCAAATAGCCCTCAAGTAGAGGGTATAATTTCTAATGGTATTTGAAATCATATATGAACTCAGACATGATTAGCCGCAGGAGGCGGAATCAGGGGCTCTTCAAGAATCATAAACGGACTTGGTTATGATTTGTGATGGAAGAGACATATATTGATGACTCTTCTAGAGGTGAGGCAAGAAAAAATTAGACTTTTAATATTCAAGATAGAATAAAAGGAATAATGTTATAAGGTAATGGGAAAAATATTTAAGCAGTACGAGAAAAACTGTTCCAACGTGGACATGAAATATTTTAGCTTTGTAATAACTTTTTATAGTTTTGGAAAATAATAGTCTAGGTCTATTAGAAAATTGTTTTAGATTTCAAAAAAGTTCTAGGTTAAGGGCAAAACTGTTCATGTATGGAAAGAAGATGTTTCATCAAATGTTAAGTACGTTCATTAGAAGTAATTAAGAAACATCTCAATAGGTTATAGTATATTCACTTGAGAGAGAAAGAAAAGTATTTTTAATGATTGATTAAAACCTCCGCTTTCTAGATTTAAATAGAATTATGAAATTGCAAGGAAAAACAAATAAAAAAAAGTATGATATAAAGATATGGAAGAACTTAATGGAAGGAAAAATTGTAGAAAAACAAAATGGAAGAAAAATACAAAGAGAAAAGAATGAAAAATAAATAAAAAGAAGCATAATAGAAGTGGAAATGGCCCACATATGTGACGTGCTGCTTCGCTGTAAGTGGGCCAGCAAACATTGTTGCGTATGCGACATATAGGATACAGCAAACACGCAAAAGGTCATGATTATCAGATTAGGCAATGTCTCTCCTGTTCACGGTAGGCCCAACTTCTCTTCAGCTTGGCCCACCCACTTTGTTTCTTTTCTTCTCAAAAAAAAAAAAAAAAAGAAAGAAAGAAAGAAAGCTCGATTTTATCTTTTGCAGTTGTTGTACGTGATCCATGTTCGCTATTTTGATAGTTGTAGTGACTATGGTAGAAATAGAACTATATTTTAATCGATGAAGCTTTATTAAATAAAGTTACGAGCAAACAAGGTCATTGTTGAGGATGGACCTTGAAACATGCCCCTCTTTGTGTGCTTTATTTCTTACTAAATTAGCAAACATATTCATACATTGCAGCGGAACATATAACTTATTTTATTTTTTCTAATATATCTTGAAATCGGACTCTATACCATAGTTAGTATGCTATTCTAACTCTAATGAACACAGTTGTGAGTTCAGATCATGGATGGGACAGTAAACCAAACATGACTCTTATGTCTAATTCGTCATATATACTGCTAGCCACATGTATGATATCACCCGAAGATAAGCTTATATGCATTGAGCTACAACTTGGAGAAGATGCTGACAAATCTAACTCTTCCCGGCATTCTCCTCACGCCCTCTCTTTATTTTCTAAGCTCTAAGCGGAGTAGAGCTTCGCCTAAGCTTGAAATGGATGCCTCTCCTTGGTGTGTTGAGTAAGGGGGTACTTCCCTATTTATAGTAGCTAGATGTGGGCCCATAGATCCTGGTGATGTTAATGATGACTATTTGATCTCACAACTGTCATAGACTAACTGTTCTAGATGTGCTCAAGTGTGTTTCCTTGCATGGAACCGAATGGGAGGTAGTTCTACCATGGGGTTCAGGTCAGAAGACCAGGGGGTCGACAAACGCCCCTCCCCTTCCCCTAGGCCCTTCTTGTTTCTTGTATAGTTGGGTCCACTTGTCAATGATGGTTCTAGTATAGGTGGTGTTGGCGTGGAATGGACCATGAATGTGGGTCCATTAATCCATGTACATGTCTATCCAACCTTTGGGAGAAATCACACCTTGCATCCAATGGATAGAAATGGTCGTAATTGTGTTTCTTGCCACCACACCAAGATTGAGCCCAAGTGGTGACACTTGCCCGGTTGCTCAACCCTGACATGTGGGTCAAATTGGCTCATTTTCAACATGTGTGCTTCTGCATCCAAATATACTCCATATACATGTGGAACCGTATTATTTGCATTGCTAACTCATCATATTGGTAAGGGTGGATAAGGACTAGATGTGGAGATAGAGCCAGACAAAGGGCATGATTTGGGTCAACCGAACAACTAGGAATGGTTAGGCTGGGAAAAGGAATGACCCTTCATCAAGAAACTTTGGCGGACAAGGTTTATTACACGGTTACAAGTGGCTAGGCTCCTTTGAGTGATCTACCAAGGCTAATGGAACATAATTAGGGAGATAGGTTTAGGTTTCATAAGGAATTCTTAAAAGGTTTTAGAGAGTTGAGTTTTTGGGTTGTTACACAAGCATTGTAAATCATAAGCTTCATATTTATTTATATACTAGCAAACATGCCCGTGCGTTGCAACGGGAGAAAAAATAAACTATCAAACATAATGAAAAATAACGATAAAAATAGCAAGTGTTTATTTATGTTTTACATATTCTATAAAATTAAAATCTATAATTGATGCTATTTATGATGACTATGACATTCATAATATGAGTTAATGTTGGCAATGATATGATAATATTCTATTAACCGTATATTGAATTAAAATAAAATTATTTTATTTGTTTTCTCTTGTTGCAAAGAACAAAAATATTGAGGTAAATATATCAAACTTTACTTTTCATACTCTCCATGTGCCGGTACAACTAAATATTGAATTTCCGACTAACTATTGAGGACAAAAAGAATCTACTATAATGGTCAGGCTAGCGCCCGGACGTCCGGGCCCTAGACCCGTGTCCAGACGCAGCTCCCTGCGCCTGCTCCATGCCGCATGCCCTGCCCACTCAGATTCCGCACCACTCGAACGACTCGCCCCACCCACGCCCCCCACACGAGCCCACGCCGTCCGAACATCACCAGCATTGAGAAGAGGAGACACCTAGGCAAGGCAGCAAAAAGACGAGGAGAGAGATGCAACACCCGATCTACTTTTGAAACATCTAAATGAAACATTTGTAACATAACTTTGAAACTGTTGAAACACTTGCAACATGCGTATAAAAGCACCTAAAAATGCTTGAAAAAACCATTGCAAAATATATGCATAAAACCAATGTTTTTCTAAACGGTAAACGGTTTTTACACGGTCGCCCTTCGTTTATCGTTTAGGCTGTTTACACGGTGTTTAAACGAAGTTAAACGGTCTAACCGGTTTTGTACTTTTTAAAAAAAATACATATAATTATATATGTGCATTTAAAAAATCAAGTATTCTAGCATTTATACATATTTATCCGAGTAAAAATCAATTATTTTGGTATGTATATATATTTATGCATGTGAAAAGAACCAAATATAGATATTTATGCATGTAACATATCAAGTGTACACATTTATAAATATAATAAACTTAAGTATACAAATTTATCCATACAAAACTGAACTAGATTTACCTCGTGTTCGCCTAAACGGCCGTTTAAACAGCTGTTTAGCCCGTTTAATGCTGTTTATCTCCATTCCGTTTAGGCCGTTTTTTTCGTTTTTTGACCGTTTAAACGGTCAACCGTTTAATTTCCATTTACCCCCTAAACAAAACAGTTTACCACCGTTTACCGTTTACTGGCCGTTTAAACGGCCGTTTGATCCGTTTAGACGAACACCGGATAAAACACATGTAACATATGCATGAAACACATGCAACATCCAGATAAACACACTTGCAAACATACGTCTCAAAAAACA